CAGTAACAAATGACTCTTTCTTTTATAATTGTCTTTTCCCAGTGTGATTGTGACAGCCAGGACACAATTAAACCTTCTATCCACTTTTCTTTATATCCATAGACAGGATTGTTTGTAGGTCTTTATTCTGTTTCCTTGTATTTTACAGAAGGGCTGAGGCTGTATTCCTTTGTGACATGTTTTCTTCCCCTAAGTTCAGGATATATTTCTGGAAAAGTCTATAGATTTCCAGATATATGTCCACCTATGTATCATCTCTATGTGACTATTCATGCACACTTTTTTATACAGCTGCACAGTATTTCTTGGATAGCAGATTACATATAGAAACAACACAGGTAGACATGTCAAGAAATGAAGCTTTATCTTTCCACCTTGTCTTTCCCCCCATGTCTGGAGTGGCAAGGGAAAAAGAGGTCTCACCTCAGCCTTTCAGTGTCATCCATACTCTGAAATCACTGACCCTGCCTTAGAGAGAATGCATAGTTCTTCAGAGATCCCTGCCTCCCTTTGGTGACCTGACCCCATACCCTGCTGGACAGCTGCAAGGTTCTTTCCGTGATGATGTAGTGTGCACAAATCTCCTCACTATCATTATTCCTTAGACCAAGTGCCCCTACACACTGTGTGTGTGTGCGTGCGCGTGCAAGTGCACAGGCTACGGGTCACAGAGCAACGCTCTGCTGGTGCCTGGCAGAGCACCATCCTTTCCTATAGCATACTCTTGCCTGGGAGGGGAAGGCAGTCATCTGCCCTCTCTCTGTCATGGTCTTGTAGCTCTGAGTCTCAAGGGCTTAATTCACCTCCAGCCTTTTGCCCAAACAGGCTTATACACACCCAGGAGGTCTGGCCCAAAGGCCTCCCCAGGAACACATGGGGACTTCCAGGTCCCTGATCTTATGGACACAGATCCCTCTTTCTCTTTTCTATTCCATTTTCTCTCCCTCCCTTCCCTTCCTCCATCCCTTTCTTCCTCCCAACTCCCCTCTCCCGCCTCCCTCTTACCCTCCTTTCCTCTAGCTCCCGATTCTCTCTTCCATCCTCGTCCTCCCTTTCCTGAATATCTTCTTAAACTCCCCCGTACTCCTGACTTCTGATTAGATTCTTCTCAGTCTCCTCCACAGTCCAAGAGAGAATCCAGTATAACCCTCATCTAGACCTTTACTTTCTCCATCCTCCTCCCTTGACATTTCTCTCGACCAGTGTCATAGCATTAAGGGCACACAGGTCCTCTCCTGTCTCCTCCCCCTTGAAACATCCAGGCTTTCCATTTTTCATCATCAAATCTTGAGCCCCACCTCTGGCCCTTGGAAGATAGGAGCATTATTTGATGTGGCTTGATTTCAGGTCTCCCTTCAAAGGCCCTTGAAATGCTAATAGAGCTGTTGGAATTCTAAAAATTGCTTACTTGCTCCCTCCGTCTCCACCAAGCCTTGATTTCTTAGACTTGTATTGTGGCTGTGGAGGTCAGGAAAGGTGAACACCGCACTGAGACTGGGACCTGATCTGTGGTTTCTTTGATCCACATGTTAAGTCAGCTTTAAAGGAAAAGCTGCAGAGGCAATGTGATTCAGGAAGGAAGGTGTAAACATTTAAAATGCGCTGCTCATTACAATGCAGTGTGGCTGGAGTTTTCGCCACTGTTCCCTTATGGGTGATGTTTAGACTTGACTATCACAAATAAACGCAGGAGGTAAAGCCTTTTGTAGATCATTTTTATTTACTGGAACTCGTAATTTTTTTGTAGGGGAAAAAAGTCCTAAAGTGTGGTTCGAAGGGCATGTGTGATTTAATTGTTAGTGTCCGCTGGTACAGCTGCCTTTTGCAATTCACACCCACCCCCAACCCTCAGTGTTGGAAGTGCCCGTTTCCATTTCCACACGTCTCACCACCGCTGGCTGGTTGAGACTCGCTTCAAGTGTTGCAAATCTCATTGGAGATTTATGTAACATAAAAGTCGGTTTCATTTTGTGCTTCTTTGACCGCCTGAGAGGTGGCAGGTGGTTCATTTCTTCATATCCTGTTTAGCTGTTCCTATTTCCTCCTTTCCACAAGTCCTCTAAGGCTGTTGTTCTTTCCAGTTATCGATTGTGTGAAGCTCTTTGTACACTAGGAAATCCTTTAATCAGATAGGATGGGAATTGGTCCTGAGCTCGTTTTGTTACTTCATAAATATTATATCTGTTTCGTGCCATAAGAAAGCATACTAGAAGGAAAAAGAATGAAAAGTGTGAGTTTTTACTAAAAGAATTAAGAATCTAACTAATTGCATAATTATACTATTCTCATAGATGGGCATTGGTTTGTTTTCTGTTATTAGAATGCAACCCCTGAGGCTGTGTAATTTATAAAGACAAGAGGTATTTAACACATAGTTCTGGAGGTGTATGAACAGTATCAGGATCCTGCCCAGCCCTGGTAAGAACCCCTGGCTACATTACAACATGGTGGCATCATGATAGGAGAATGTACAGAGAAGAGAGAGAGCACATGGCAAGACAAGGAAGCAAGAGAGATTTATTTTTGGGGGGTCCAGTCGTGGAGCCTGAACTCTGGGCCTGGGTGCTGTCCCTGAGCTCTTCAGCTCAAGGCTAGCGCTATACCACTTGAGCCACAGCGCCACTTCTGGCTTTTTTCTCTTTGCTTATGTGGTGCTGAGGAATCGAACCCAGGGCCTCAGGCATGCAAGGCAAGCACTCTACCACTGAGCCACCTTCCCAGCCCAGCAAGAGAGATTTAAAAGCCAGACTTTCTCCTTTTTGTGTCTGTCAGTATCTGGGTTTGAACTCAGGGCCTCATACTTGCTCAGCTTGCTTGCTCATAGCTGGCACTGCACCACTTGAGCCATACCTCCAGCCTGGCATTCTGCTGGTTAATTGAAGATGAAGTCTTGCAGACTTTTCTGCCCAGGCTGGCCTCAACAACCATTCTCCTGATGTCACCATTATAGGCACCATTTGGCTGATGCCTATAATCCTAGTCACTCAAGAGGAGGATCTGGAGTACCTCAGTTCAAAGTTAGTCTGGGCAGAAAAGCCTATGAGACTCCATCTCCAAAATAACCAGAAGAAAAAAAAGACTGACTGGAGGTATGATAGAGTGCCAATTGAGCACACAAACCAAGAGAGCACAAAGCCCTGAGTTCGAATCCCAGCAAAGAAAGAAAGAAACGAAGGAAGGAGGGAGGGAGAGAGGCAGGAAAGAAGAAGGAAGGAAGGGAGGGAAGGGAAAGGTATCTAGGAGTAGGGAAGATTGATGTATTTGTTAATTAAATGTTTTACTTTGAAATAATTAAAGCATCATATACAACTCTTAAGAAATTAGCATACGTGTCACCCAGTCTCCCCCAATGAGGGCATCTTTCAGATCTCCAGTGCAGTTTTAACAATCAGGATATTGAGGTTATCCACCAAGCATCCCTGTGTTATACCCATCATCACCCAACTCCATTCTTAATCCCAGCGACTGTGAATGTATAATTTTATGTAAGTGAGAGTCACGGCCAGGGCACCTGGCCTGGAGTGCTGCCTGGAGTGCTCGCAGGGTGTGGCACCAGCCCAGCCAGCCAGAGCTGCAACCACAGCCTCAATGAAGGTACAGGAGGACTATTGTACAGGGCAACTCCTGTGCTCCCTGGGATTAGAGTGCAAGCCAGATATTCATCCTTTCCTTAGTGTTGGCCCGTAGCCTTGCCCCTCCTTGCCATTTTGTTCCCGAGTCAGTCATATTTTTAAATCCATGTCAATTTCTTTACATTTCTAAATGGGAGGAGCGTTCACTCTGTGAAGCACTTCAGCCTTCCAAATCTTTTATATAACTCATTCCGGATGTATTCTGGACTCACCATACAATATGGTACAAGGAGAGTCTCCTCTTTATTTCCAGAACTGGTTATACTTTTTTCTGAATTTAGGTTTCCTGAAAAATGTAGCCAGAACACATTGCAAGTTTTGCTGGCAGTCGAGAACCGGAGAGAAAACTGGGTGGCGGCAGGCAGCAGAGTTGCACACCTGATCTGAATATGGCCTTCCTGCCACAGCTAGGAAGGAGCTGAGAGATCAGATGTCTGAATGAAGGCCCATTTCTGAGAAATCCACTTTTAAAGCCCTGAGGACAACTTGGGAAACCCTTCGGGGTGGTACTTATCTCAGAATGCCCTTTCTTTGTAATACTGAGTAATATCCTACGGTATGCATAAACCATATTGGGTTGATCATCCATCAGTGGCAATGTGTGCTTTTTCCACCTGTGGCCTATTGTAAATAATTAGATTATGAAAATGGTTTTACAAATATCTATTCAAGCCTAACTTTTTGTTCTTTTAGGTATGTATACCCAGAAGTTAGACTGCTAGACCATACATGGGGGGGCGGGGGTTTGGCCAGTTGTGGTGCTTGAACTGAGCACCCAGGCACAGTCCTTGAGCTTTTTTGCTCAAGGCTACTGCTCTACCCGCTCTGAGCCACAGCTCCACTTGTGGTTTTCTGGTGGTTAATTGGAGATAAGAGTCTCAGACTTCCCTGCTTGGCCTGGCTTTGAACTGCCAATCCTCAGATATCAACCTCCTGAGTAGCTAGGATTACAGGTGTGAGCCTGGCAATTTGCTCTTGTTGCTGCTATTGTTATTGTTCTGGTAGTGGTAGTGTTTTGCCAGTCGTGGGGCTTGAACTCAGGACCTGAGCACTGTCCCTGAGTTTCCTTTGCTCAAGGCTAGTGCTCTACCACTTGAACCACAGTGCTATTTCCAGCTTTTTCTGTTTATGTGGTACTGAGGAGTGGAGCCCTGAGTTTCATGCATGCTAGGCAAGCACTCTACCACTGAGCCACATTCCCAACCCTTGGTGTTTGCTTTTTAAACTACAAAAACAGAACTACTGCTTTCCACAGCAGCTGTGTCATGTTATTCTAGCCCTTCCAGTGACACACATAGAGTTACAATTTCCCTGCAGTATCCCCACCATATCAACTGTGCCCCTCTTTACTTTTCCAGAGTTCTCAGGGGCCGCTCACCTGCCCGCCTTCACTGAGCACCAATGGGACATTTCCAGCAGCGACCGTGCCCTGCCTGCCCGGCCGCCTGACTGCCATTCACCTCTACAGAATCCAGAGGTATGTCCTCACTCCTTCTCCCCTCCCCCTCGACCCTACCACGTCCTCCTCTGGCTGAGAGATCCTGGGGACAGTGCTAGAGGAATGGACTCATTCAACATCTGCAAGCACAGAGCTGGAGGCAAAAAAACCAGAATGTCACCCCCAAACACCAAAACTGATCAGAAAATTAAGAAATGTTTCTTAATTTGCCCTGGAAGTTGAGTTTAGAATAATAAACACCTGTAAGCCTAGCTACTCAGAAGGCTGAGATCTGAGGATCACAGTTCAAAGCCAGCCCAGGCAGGAAAAGTCCATGAGACTCCTATCTCCAGTAAAGTACCCAGAAAAAGTCAGAAGTAGGGCTGTGGCTCAAGTGGTAGAATGGTACCACTTGAGCAAAAGAAGCTCAGGAATGGCACCCAGGCCCAGAGTTCCCCACCCTAGGACAGGCAAAAAAAAAACAAAACACTAATTCTTTTCTATTTTTAAAGTTTCTTGTTAGTAACTATCCAAAAATACAATCTCCATCCAGGTGACATCCTAGTATAATGATTCTTTTGCCATACAAATATCTTAGAACAAAATTTTTTATTTACCTTGATGCATTGTTTTGATTATGACAAAACTTTAAAGCTACAAAAAAAATTGAGAGCATAGAACTGTGAAAGCTCAAGTATTTGTTATTTCCCAGATATCCACATGCACACACACACACACACACACACACACACACACATTTTGTAAATATGTATTGATGGTACATGCATGTGTTTGTTCAATTATTTTTATCAGAAGCATCTGAAAAGAAGTTGCAGACATCATGATATTCTTTGGCAAGGATCTCTTCTACAGAACTAGAACACATATCACCATGAAATTTAACACTAGTAAAGGAATATTGTCTAAAATATTGTACCAATTCAGATTCCCTTCATTGTTCTGAAAATATTAATCCTAGCTATTTTTCTTGTCTATTATTCAACTTAGTGTCATGTACTGAATTTAATTCTGTCTTTTTCATTTTAAACCAAAATACAGAACTCTGCTTTTGTTTGTGTTTTTTGTTTGTTTGTTTGCAGTTCTGGATATCAGATCCAGGACCTGATGCATGCTACATAAGCATTCTACCACTGAGCTACATTTCCAGCCCCATTGAAATTTTTGAAGACTCTAAAAACTTTAAGAATCTAGGTCAGTTATTTTGTACAACATTTCACCATCTAGATTCCTTTTATTGTTTCCTCAGATTTAAATAAAAATTTCTTACATTTAGCTAAACAGCATATCCGTAGCATACTATAGTATATAACCTTTTATTTGTAATAATTTTATTTTCTTGGCTAAAGTAGTTTCTACCTGAGCTTCCCTGTAGCAAACTCCCTTTTTATTCTCTATAATTAATAAGTAATTAATTGGTAAAGCCAACTTTGAGACGCTGTGAATATTTTCTTCCAGAACTAGTCATCATCATCAAGTGGTTTTAGCAACCCTTCTTGGTTAGATTGTACTTTTTAGCTCATAGATAATCAGAACATAGATAATCAGACTTTCTTTCCTATCACACAGTCCTTCATAGTTTACATTGTCCCAGCTGTGACCTCACCACACAAGGGAGTGTACCGAGACAGACGAGAGGAGTCTGAAATCAGACTGTCTTCATATGTACACACCAGCTCGATGACCTTCAGCAAGCACCTCCAATCACAATCCCTCAGAGTCCTCATAAAATTCAAGAGACTAAAAATGACCACTGCCTGACACACTGCTGCAGGGCGTGGAGCCTGTGACTAGCTCTTCTAAGTTCTGGCTGTGAATTATCAGGAGCTGAGAGGATGGGCTGAGGAACAACTGGATGGCTTGATCTCTTATGAAACTTGTGTAGAAATCATCTCACCTCATGGTGGCTAGGAAGCAAAGAGACAGGAAGGCTGGGATCCAAATGCCCTTCAAAAACACCCTGCGAACGACTTAACTTCTTCCCAATGGGCCCTCCCTCTTAAAGGTTCCACCACTTCCCTTCCCTCACAGACAAATAAGGGCTTGTCCCTCCCATACACCCTTAGTTATCAAGAAATGACTGTGAGATTAATTTGCAGTGAGTAGAGCCATGTCCCCTAAGGGCAGTCCTGAAAGCTGTCATTCAGAATTATAGGTCTGCTTTCCTTTGCTTTCTTGCAGCAGGTTACATAGAGTTAAACATGTTGTGCCTACCAAGGGCCTCCTCCCAGGCATTCTAGATTGATTGGCTGGAGAATGAGACTAGCCTTTCTGTGGCCCTGTGCCACTGGACACCCGAGCTAAGCAAATCTGCCTCAATGTAGCTGATCCCTCCCATTCTGTCCTTTTGGGTTCTCCTGACCTTTCTAGACTGACCGCAGCCTGTTCTTCTGGAGCGCAAGGGAACTTAGGAGAGCTTCAGGTGCTGCATAAGTAGCTGACTGAGCCCTAAGTCTGTTTCCTGATATACAAGGGCCCCTGTGACCCCAGACGTTCCCTGATCTAACCTGAGCCCCTACCTGTACATTGAAGTTGAGGCCAAACATATACATCATAAATTTAAATAGAAACCCATTTGTCATTTTCAGTATGCCATAAATAATAGCATTTCAACATAGAGTTGTTCTGCTCATTTTTAAATAAATAGACAATAATATACTTCATTCTATTTAAACTACATGGCCAGCCAGGTTCTTCCCATACCTTAAAAATGTACACCCTTTTGTTCACTCCTTAATTTTGTATTTCTATTCCATATCCCTAATTTGTTTATGTTGTGTTGCTATGACAAAATAAGAAGTTCACTTGGGTTGTGATTCTGGTAGCTGGGGGATTCAAACCACATGGTACCAGCATCATCCTAGCAAGCCTCCACCATGTCTTAGCAAGCCCCACACCCCAGCTGTATTACCATATGACAGGTGAGCAGAAAGGAGCAATTATGTTGGGTGTCTTTGCTTTATAACAACCTACTCTCAGCACTAATCCACTCTTCAAGACCAGAATCAATCCTTGCCAAGGGGCATTCCCTCCTGACCCAAGTACCTCCCACCAGGTTCCCCCTTTACACGTTTACCTACCCCAGCACCACCAACTGGGGACCAAGTTTCCAGTACATAAGCCCTTGGGAGATACCCTCTAACCATCACAAAAACACTGCCTTACAACCTTATTGTAATTTTGTGCTTAAAATTCACTTGCTGTTCATTTTGTCACATTCTTTGCTTGTGTGTGTGTGTGTGTGTGTGTGTGTGTGTGTGTAGCACACAGGGACACTGCCCAAGCTGAGTTCAAGCCCCAAGACTGACAAAAAATAAAAGGATCTCTTAATAAGATGAACTATAGGAGGCTTCATATAGAGACCTGACCTGAGGAATGGCAGGACTCTGCCTTTGGGCAGAGCTGGGAGGTTTCCCACATTGGAGCAGTCCTTAGGAAAGACAGCTTCCCCACAAATGTGTTTCAGGAAAGAATGTATAGACAATCGGGGAATTTTACAGTCTATGACTTATAAGCCTCCCATGCCTGTCACCTTGAACTAATTGTGTCTGTCCCCAGGAGGCTCAAGATTCAACTGATGGCCACTGCCCTAAGCTGTCCCTTCTTGGACTCAATTCCATCACCCCAATAACCTAAAGCCATGCCCTGCCCCCTCCCACTGCTGCTCCTCTTTGGGCCCACTCTGTGGATCCCCAATTCCCTCTGAGGCTTGGTATCTTCCAGGATGTAGCAGTTCCTTGTGGTCCTGCCAAAGAGTCCATGTACTTTCTCTGGGGAGTTCAAAGACAGCATTTGGGTTTTGATGCTTTGAAGTATATAATGGTCACACTCTGAATGTCTCTCTTCTGGAAACAACATATACATGGACTTTGTCTGCACTTTCTTCTGCAGAGCTCTGGAAGTGAGTTTGCAGACATAGTTAAGAAAGTCCTGGTAGTGAGGACTTATCTTTGGAGTCTTGGCATGCAGCCTTGGAAAGAGACACAGTCTTGCCATAAGTGAGCATAAGTAGACATTCACACAAGGCTTGACACATATACCCGAGGGCAGGTCTCAAATCTTCTGGAATGAGACAGCCCTTCCATTCACATAGACATGCATCTCCTTGCATGAGTGGATGAACTGGCTAGTTAAGATGAACTAGTGAACCTCGTGCTTGTGCCCCTGAGAATCCCTGAGGAGCACCTTCAGTTTTTCAAGATTATATGAGCAGAGGAAGCTTATAAACAATTGACTTCCAAATTAAGTTTAATTCCTGTTGAAATCATTGTTTGGCTGTGCAAATTCCCTCTGTATGCTGTGGGCATTTCTAGAACAAGCAGAAGCTCTTAGATAAAAATCATGTACTAGCATGTACCAAACTTTATTTCATTCATTCATTCATTCAGAAGGGAACCAACAAGAAGGCAAATTGTCTGTCACTAAGAACATTTGAGTAACTGGGATTTATAGTCAGTTGGGAAAGAAATAGAGAAATGAGGTGCTAAATTAAATTACATCCGCATGAAGCAATAAAAATGGTAACGTATTTGGGCTCCGCTTTTTAGTAGGCAGTAAGAATCATAATAAATTAGTTTCTGCAGGCTAACCTCTAACCTTAGAGGATGATAACTCTTTGCATGTTTGTCAACTATGAATTGTTCGGTATTTATGAGGAGTCTCAAGAGTATCAGCATAAGATCCAGCAGGATTATTAGTTTGTGTTCCAGTAGGATATCGGAAATTTTTTTAATCCACATTTTCCCTTTGTCTAGTTGGGGATAAATTTTTCAGTAACCATGGAGTAAAATAAGGTGACCTGCATGGCAAGCTTGAGCAATGGTGTAGACTCCATCAGGGCAGTCCTAACAGGCAGTCTTAATGGGCTCTTGAACATTCCTTCCTGCCTCCTGACATCCTATCCTGGGCCACCCCTGCCTTGTGTGGGCGCTGAACCTAGTGACTTGTTTGGCTGATGAACAAAGTTTAATGGAAGCAATGGTCCATCACTTTCAAAACCAGACCACAAAGACAATGCCCTC